CATATCAGCCACTTGAGGGGTGAACCAATGGAAAAAGGCAGACCTTTCTCTCTGTCTCTTTCTCACTGTCTAACTCTGCCTGTACAAAAAATAAATAAATAAATAAATAAAAAGGGACTTAATAACCACTTTGGGATCAGGAATAAATAAGAGATTTCAGCTTCCATCACTTCTATTTAGTCTATGCTATATGCCCAGTGCTATAATGCAAGAGAAAGAAAATGAAAGGTATATTGAATTTAAAAGGAAATCAGAGTTTATTCAATGAGGAAATTATTAGAGCATGTATAAAACATCCCCAGGAATCTACAAAACAAGTACTAAAACTTTTATGAATTAAGCAAGGTCATTAAAAACATTGTCTACATAAAAAAATCAATGGTATTTCTGTAGACTAGTAACAAATGATCACTGGAATATAAAGTTTATTTTTAATTGTATGGAAACCTAAAATACTCAGGAATAATATAACAAAAATGTATAAAAGTTCTGGTACAAAAACAGATGGATAGACCAATGGAACAGAATGGAAATGCCAGAAATCAATAAAAAAAAAGTTCTAAAATGAAAACTATAAAACTTTATGAATGAAATTAGACAAGGCATAAATAAATGGAGTTGTATATCATGTGTAAGACTCAGTATTGTTCTTTTGAAATTGATCTTTAAGTTCAACATGATCCAAGTTAAACTCTCAACTTTTTCTTAATAGAAAATGAGAAATGGATCCTAAAATGTGTATAGAAAAGCAAAGGACGAGCAAACCTTAAACAAAACCAAAGTTAGAGAGCTTCTTTTACTGGTTTTAAGACTTACTGTAAATTTGTAGCAATCAAGACCATGATTGCATGTTATTGGTTTAAGAATGAACAAATGAATCAGTGAAATAGATTCTTACACATACATATACAGCGAGTCATCAAAAAGTTCATGGAAAATATATAATATGAAAAAATTACTAGTGGACTTCCAAATTTTTGCACCAAAATACACTTATCATTTATGTCCATTTTTTCTTAGAGTTAATTAAATTTCTGCACACAAATTTTAAAAGTTCATGGGAGTAAAAAGAGAATATGTATTTTCCGGCTGCGCCACAGCTCACTAGGCTAATCCTCCACCTGTGGCGCTGGCACCCCAGGTTCTCATCCCAGTCGGAGCACCAGATTCTGTCCCGGTTGCTCCTCTTCCAGTCCAGCTCTCTGCTGTGGCCCGGGAGGACAGTGGAGGATGGCTCAAGTGCTTGGACCCTGCACCCCCATGGGAGACGAGGAAGAAGCACCTGGCCCCTGGCTTCGGATCGGTGCAGCCTGCCGGCTGCAGCGCACCAGCCCTAGCAGCCATTTGGGGGGTGAACCAACAGAAGGAAGACCTCTCTCTCTCTCTCTCTCTCTCTCTCTCTCTCTGTCTCTCTCTCTGCCTGTCAAAATTTTAAAAAATTTTAAAAAAAGAATACATATTTTCCATGAACCTTCTGAAGATCTTTTGTATTTATGATCAATTGGTTTGTCAAGAAAGTTTCAAGATTTTTTAGTGAGGAAGGGAGAATCTTTATTAAATGGTGCTGAGACAACTGAATGAACATACAGAAAAAGAACACTCCTGCCTCACTAATGATATGGAAACTGATTTTGGATAGATCAAGACTAAATGTCAAAATGAAACATAGTAAAATGTTTTTGTAATTTGGGGCTTGGCAAGCCTTTTTTCTAAGGTACAAGAAGCACTACTATAAATAATAATAGACTGGATTTCATGAAAATTAGAACTTCTACTAATGAAAAACTATCCACATATCAGAAAAACTCTATAAAGGGCATATGAGGGTTTTTTTTTTTTTTGTACTATTCTTCATACTTGTCTCCAGTTGGAAACTATTTCCAAATAAAATGTTTTTAAAAGATAGCATTAAGAGAACAGGGAAGAAAATATTAACAATACATATATCTGAGAAACAACATGTATACAAAATATATAAAGCACTTATACAATTATAAGAAAGTAATCTAATAAAAACTGAATGAAAATCTTAACAGGTGCCTCACAAAAGAAGATATACCAGTAAACATAAGTAAAAATGCTCAATGTCATGTAATCATAAGGAAAAGACAAAGTCATAATGGCATCCACTTTATACATACTAAAATTGTCTTTACATTTAAAATCTGCTAACACCACTTTGGAGAACTGTTTCTTTAAAGTTGTGTAAGTATATTCCCCAGTGACTCAGTAATTCCATTCATGGTTTTATTTATTAAGAGAATGAAAATACATGTTCACAAGAAAACATTACAGAACATTCCTAAGAAACCAAAACTAGAAGCAGTTCAAATGTCTGTCATCAGGAAAGTGAATAAATAAACTGTTTTATACCCCTATGAGACTTAGCAATTAAAATCAAAAGAACTATTGCTGCATGCTACAACATGGTTAACTTTCAGAAATGTCATGTTAAGTGAAAGAAGCCAATCACAAAAGAGTATATTTCTATAGAACTCTGAGAAATTCAAGAACAGACAAGTTATTTATGATGATAAAAATATGAACAGTGATTACCCATAGGGTAAACGTTGCCTAGATGGAGTCAGGAGGGAACTTTCATATGCTGTGTTTTGAACAGAATGATAATTACCCAGGAATATACATTTATCAAAATACTTGAGATTATATACTAAAATTTGCATTTCAAAGACAAATATTTCTGAAATGAAGAAATGAGACCATAGCTATTTTTATAATACACATTTTTCATGTAGGGTAGAATGTAGACCCTCTTATTAAAGCCTCCCTTTGTGGACTATAAACTTACTAAGTCCTTAGTCTGTCATAATATCTGTGCATGATTTGTCTGTTACCTATCCCTTCTACTTCTTTTTCCTCCCTTACCTAATAGGTCCTAGCCTTGCTGGCTCTGCTTTCTGAAGTAGATCATTTCTTGATATTTATATATTTTTTATTCATTTCCTTACTGCATTTGGAAAACTCATTTATTTTGTCTCTTTATATGGTTTTTTTTCAACCTGTCTTTACCGTTAAAATAGAAGCTCTGGGCAGATTTGTCTTTTTCATCATTGTATCCTTTATGCCTAACTCAGTATTTGTTGGATGTGCCAATGAATGAAAGAGTATCTCTAACTGAACCAGTTGAAATGTTTGTGGTGTTGCCTGTTGCTTCTGCTTTTAATTGTCAGTCCTCTTCCATTAGGGGATAAGCAAGATTAATCATTTCCCAGCAAATTGATGTGAATGGTCTGCCACTTTGGACTTCATCTTCGACATTATCTTGTCCCTTTTTTAAAACTAGTTATAGATATGTAAACTGATGGGGGATTTTAAAGGCATTGTCCCCAAAATGTTTTGTAAAGCATTAGTGATTTTGCCATTCTTCCACCCACCATTAACTATGCATTTTATGTTTGTTCTTTCTACAATTTTAGCAGAATTCATATTGCTCTGATAGGAACTCTTTCTAATCTTATTTTTTTTCCTTCTTAACACCTCAAACTAGATCCAGTTCAAACTACAAGAAATTAGTATGAGTCTGTTTTTATACAAAACCACCTTTAAAATCTGTTTATATTTTTTATAATATACACTTTCCATGAACTTTGTGAAGAGCCCTCATATTTATACTTAGTGTTGTCTGTTGACAGTTTTTCTACAGCAAAATATGTAAGCTATTTTAGAGGGAGGCAATAATGATATATAATTAATAAAATATAAAATATAATCAAAATGGGGAAGAGGGTCTGGCATTGTGACCCAGTGAGTTAAGCTACTACTTTTGATGCCAGCATACCATATCGAAGTGACAGTTCAAGTCCCAGCTCCTCCACTTTCTACTAATGCACCTGGGAAGGCAGTGCAAGATAAGTTCTTAGACCCCTGCCACCCATGTAGGATAACAGGACAGAGTTCCTGGTTCTTGGCTTTGGCCTGCCCCAAATCACCCACCTGCTGTGGCCATTTGGAGGAGTGAATCAGAGAATCTAAGATCTCTCTCTCTCTCTCTTCCTCCCTTTCAAATAAATACATCTATAAAAATGAAAAAGCAGAAAGAGTCATGGAAGAGACATAAAAATGCTATGTTGATGTAAAAAAAGCCAATTGTACTATAAATATTGACAATAGTCTACTCAAATGAAATTTTGTCTTTTTAGGAGACTGCTAATTGTAAAATATTAGCGTAGTGCATCTAGACAAAGTTGCTAAAAAGGGAGAAAAAACATTGATTCTCAAGTAAAAATGCAGTTTTTAAGGACACATCAATTGTACAATATAGCAGCCTAAGACAGGGTTGGTGATTTTAAGCCTGCTGTGTTACCTCTGAGACCCAAAGGAAGCAGAACATAAAAATGAGCCTCTATCAATTTGAAGCAAACCTAATCTTTGTGATCATGGCTGTGGTCTAAATCTATTAAAGATGTTCAGATTCACTGTCCTTGGTATCACTGTGAGTTGACCTGAATAGTGAGCAATAAACTTGTGTGTTATAATTCTAGTTGGAAGATATGTGCTTAGGAAGTGAAAGCGACAGTCAGTGTTTTGTGTCTGTCTCTAAGCAGACGAAGAGCCTATATAAAATGACAGGTGCATTTTTAGGGAAAGAAACCCATAATGTTTTCCTATTTAGTAGGTGACAGTGTGTCCCAAGATAACACAGGCTTAAGGGGCTGGAACAAGCAGTTATTAAAGGCTAGCAGTTTCTCACTTCATACAAATTGAATTTTTTCATAGGCTGGAGGACTATGGAAATCTAGTGTAGGATTGTGAAATAAATTAGCATATTAAGTGGATTTATACATTCAGGCTTGTGAGCACTTTGAATTTAAGGGAGAAATTTTATTACTTCTTGAAAGAAAATGGCAATTCTGAAATTCTCTATTTGATCTCCCTATTGGAAAGGGTCTATATGATAAATTCAGCCGTTTTGATGATCATCCAAAGAAGTGGTTATTACATTGAAGTGAATCTTTCTCTTCTTTCTCCTCCTTCTTCAGAATTACTGATTTAGGGAACATCAAAAGAAGATTGTATTTATCGACAGTCCACAAGGAACTGTCCTCCACTCCTCTTCATGCAAAAATCCCACTCTTCATGATCAAGCGCAAAATTGTAAGTGTTGCATGAATTTTGCCTAAAATATTAAATTCAATTTAACAAATTTTAATTCTAGACCTCCTATAAATAAGAGGTACTTTGTTATATGTTGTGGTGGTATAAAACATGAATAAAACTCGCACCTGATGGGGGAATCACAGTGGAGAGGGTGCTCTTTGTTCTGTGGAAGAGAAAAGAATCCATCTGACTTCGGGAAGAAAGGCACCAGGAGGGAGCTAGTAATGAGCCTTGACTTAGAAGGAACTGGCAGGTGTCAATAGGGACAGGAGGGGAACCAAGCATCCCACGTGGAAGGAACAGCATGCTCAAAAGCTTGGAGGCTGGAAAGTGTGGTGCCTTTTGGAGAACAGAAAAGGATTAATCATTGTTGCCAGATTTAGAAACAGCCCTAATGGAGCATTAGTCCTACCGTACAACCCCCTGATGCAACGTGGGAAATAGTGTTCTTTTTGTGTAACCTGTGAGGAGTCTGACTTGACTGCTCAGTCTTTCTCAGAATACAGTCATTTCACTACTACCCTCACTACTGAGTTTGTATACTAGCCTTTCTGATGGGTACTTAATACTTTCCCTTAAAATCACTCACTTTTTTTGTTTGTTTAAATTTGAAAAGAAAAATATAGAGAGGGCGGTGCTTTGTCTTATCCCGGTAAAGCTGCCATCTGCGGTGCTGCCATCCCATAAGGATGCTGGTTGGAGTCCTGACTGTTCTGCTTCCAGTCCAGCTCCCTGCTAATGTGCCTGGGAAATCAGCAGAAGGTGTTTCAAGACCTTGAGCCCCTGCACCCACATGGGAGACCCAGAAGAAGCTCCTGGCTCCTGACTTCAGATCAGCCCAGCTCCAACTCCAGGAGCTTCATCTGGTTCTGTCATGTGGGTGGCAGGGGCCCAAACACTTGGGCCATCTTCTACATCTTCCACTGCTTTTCCCAGGCCATTAGCTGGGAGCCGCATTGGAGGTGGAGCAGCAGGAGCACTGGCATCGCAAGAGGCAGCTTTACCCACTATGCCACAACTCTGGCCCCATAACAATGTATGTTCCACTCTTAGGGAACCACTATGATAGGGAAAAGGAAGCCATTGAAGTTCTTAGACTGTGGAGGGAGCACAGTCAGCCCTGCAGATTGGGAAGATGAATCTGGTAGTGATATTTCAGGGGGGAGGCAATGAAAGTAAAGGGAGCATTTCCAATAATTCAGATTAGGGTTAATGATGACCAGGATGTTTGCAGCAGAGGAATGGGCAAAAGCAGTAATCAGAAACTTAGATGAGCTAAGATAAACATAAACAGAACTTTTCCTATATAATGTATCACATACTGTGTGGATTTTGACACTTACTAGAACATAGAATCTGGATTCTGAAACTTATTCCATATTTTGTTAAATATATAACATGTCAATAATATGTAGTGGTTGAGAACGTAAAATCCAAATTCTTCTCTGCAAATTCCTGTGTTCATTCTCCTTATGTATCAAATGTAGATACAGGAGGTGAACATACCTTTAAGATTGTGGGGTTTATATAAATTATTTTATAACAATTTCTGGCATTAAATAAGCCCCGGATAAAGATTATAGCTCCTATTTGCACTTTAGGTGCTGCTTCTTCTAGGAAGCCTTCTGTGATTTCTTCTCTGTGGGTTAGATATTTGGAGAAAAGCTCATCACTGCAATTTATAATTTCTTAACTTTCTTAACACCAATGCATGCTGCCCTTTAATCGCCTGTTTACCTGTCTGCAAGCATACTTTATTTGGCTTTTATCGTTCACCCCTATATGTACAAAGCAAGAGAAGTAAGTGCTTAATAAAATTTCAGTGTGCATCCCAGTGTGGAAGGAAATGTAATGAGTATATGATGGCTGGATAATATAACCTTTCTAAGTGCTTCATTATTACACAAATGGAAATATTCCGCTGTTTAAAATCCAGTTCCAGGATTTGCTGTCAGTTCTCCTGTTTCCTCCCCATCCAACAGGTGCTTGGCAGCACTGTCTTATTTTGCCTTTTCCAGTAGCACAGTGTTGTCAGTGAGCTCTTGTAGAGTTAAATAAAGTTGAGTCATGTTGGAGGTAAAATTTCTACAGAAACAGCAGAGTGGCTGAGAGCACATCACCCATTCAAGATGCTATCTCCAGGGTTCTCCCTGCTATTGCTATGGTGCTGTCTGTGTCTTTGTGTCTTTCTGTGCTTGAGCAACTGATAAGTACTTTGATGGAAAACCTCAATGCACCGTTGTAAAAGCATCTCTGCAAACATTTATGAGTCAGGAAATCTCACATAAAATTCCTGATTTCTCACATCATGTGAAAAACAAAACTGAAAATTTGTGAACAGTGAGCCTTCTTTCTTGCACAGTAAGCAGGAGCTGCGTGGTGAGTGCACACTTCTAAGGGAACTGTGTCTCTCCTGTGAGGTTGAATCCTCTCTATTCATAAGGTGTGCAGGTGCACTCAGACCCTTTCTGTGTCTCCAGTTATCTGCCCCTTGCACTCCCTGTGTTTGCTCGCAAGACACGAGTTAAAGGACAATTGTCAGATGACCCACTTTGCCCTGGTTCTTTACCAAAGCATTTTGGTAGCCAGAGGTAGCAAATAAAAGTAATATTCTTATATTTGTATGTAAGCCACTTTCAGTTCTAATTAACTTTAAACACTTAAGCATCCAAATAAAACTTATTTTTCATGTTATTCTTTACTATGAAGATTGCTCTTAATAGTTAATTTATAGCAATTTATATTTTTAACTTGTGTGTTCAATAGCAAGAACAATTTTACAAATTAATAACTATCAGATTAAAAATGGAAGTAACCATTTAGTCAAGACTCACTGAAATCCATCTTCTTTTTTATATTACTTCATTTGGCTAGTGATAGTTTCAGATGAACATCAGTGTCTTACTACCAAGGTATATATAAATGTACAGTAAATTTAATTCCATTTGAATAAAAAGCGCAATTATTAGATATCATTTGAAATAAATCATTCATAGAGATATAACAGAATAATGTGATAAATTACCATGCCAAAATCTTAGTAACCTGAACCACTCAAACACCAAGTATTTGTCATTTCTACTCTGTAGAAGCTGTATGTTCTTGAACCAAAACACTGATAGAATATTTTATAGCTTTTTTTTTTAACAAACTAGGGGTCTGTTTTTAAAACTAGAGAAACTTTTTTAGACTCTACTTCTCCCTATCCCCAAAGATAATTTTTCTGAGACAATGATTTGAAAGTTTGAGGATTTTAACAATATTTCATTTCTTAAGTGTCATTGAATGAGAAGGGAATGGAGGAAGTGGAATTACTCTGATAAAAAGAGATCATTTAGAGATATAAACAAGATAAAATTAGAGAATGCCTGTGAATTAAATAATAATTCTGATTAGAATCCACTATTACATTTATGGTACTCTTTGGGGAGAGGCTTTTAACTATTTTCATTTCATATGAATATGATTTTGAAATCCCTGTTTGTAAATATCTGTCTTTCCCTGCGTATCTCGCTCAGCAGATGATTCTTCCTTTGTTTATGGCCCAGCATCTACCACAGACCCCCCCCCACCCCAGAGCCAAAGCCAGGGTCAAGCTGTTTTCACTTTGAAACTCTAGAACCATGAGCCAAAATAAACTTCTCTTTATTTCATAACTGGCTCATTCTCTAATATTTGTTTCAGTAATGAAAAGGGAACTGATACAATAGTAGTCACAATGTTCAGCACACAGTAAAAATAAAATCTGGATATGCAAAGTTGGAAAACAGGAAGCAAACGAGAAGGAAAAAAATCAGTGAATAGAAACAGACCCAGACATGACAAAGATTATGAGATGAGAAGCCTAGAGCTTTAAAACAACTATTATAAATATATTCAAGGATTTAAAGGATAATAGGAGCATAATGAAAGAATAACTGAAGAAATTTCAATTCAGTGCTCCTAGCTCCTGACTTTGGCTTGGCCCAGCCTTGGCTATTGTAGGCATTTGAGGAGTGAGCTAGCGTATAGAAAATTTCTCTCTCTCTCTGTGTCTCTCTCTTGCTCTCTCTCTCTTTTTCTCACTCTCTCTCTCTCCTTCCTCTCCCTCCTCTCTTTCAAATAAATTTTTTAAAAAATTTTAAAGGTATCTCCTAATGAGAAGCTATAAAGAAATATATGTATTATACATATTAGTATATTTATATATACACACACACACACACATACACACATACACACTAGTCCAAAAGATTGTAGGACTCAAAAACTGACCAAAGATATGGGACAAATTGAAGACAAAGCAAATTGGTAGGTAGCCTTAAATGAAAACATCAAAACACTTCATTAACTGAAAGTGAATTAAACCTTCCAATTAGAAGACAGAAATTATTAGATTAAATAAAAAGCAAGACATACTTATATACTATTTATAAGAAGTACACATTAATTCTAAAGACACACAGATGGGTTACAAATAAAAGCATGGAAGAAATACATGGCATGGAAATATTAATCAAAAGTAAAGATAGAATGCCAAGAAAATAGACTTCAGGACATGGAGTATTATGTAAAGGGAGCTATTTCACAGTAATAAGGGGGCTGAATCATGAAGAAGGTATAACAATCCTAGATGTCTACAAATATAATAAGAAAACTTCAAAATGCACAAAGCAAAAACTAACAGAACTGAAGAGTGAAAGGTAGATATGTAAGTATGGTTGGAAGTTTCAAGACCACTCCCTCAAAAATTGACAGAAAGTCACTAAGGATATGAACTTGAAAGGCACTATCAATCTGACCTATCTGACATTCGTAGAAAAGTTCATTTAACAACTACAGAATACACATTTGTTTCAAATGCAGATTGAACATTCACAGGATATACAAAATATTAGGCCGTATTACTGAACGTGTTTTCAAAGATTGAAATCATGCAGAGTATGTTGTTTGACCACAAGGGAATTAAATTAGATATCAATAATAAAAAGTTAATTGGATAATGCCCAAGTACTTGGAAATAAAGCAACATACTTCTACTAAGTTAATCTTCCATTGAGAAAATAAAACTAATGTGAAAAATTAAAGGCACAACCTGAAACACCTCAAAACCTTTTTTGTGCATCATTGTAGAAAGTGGTGAACAGATTTAGAATTGCCAAGTTGCAGAATTGTGATTTCTTGTATGTCATTTCCTTTTAGAAAGACATACTAGACAGTGCTGTGCAACTCTACCTCTTTTTACACTGGCAAAAAGAAACCAATTATCTTGAGACCTTTTCTACAGTAATGGTAGAAAAAAGAGGCAAGAGGGACCAAAAAGGTACTGGGATGAATAAGAACTTGTTATTTCATATATTTGAATTTGTATGTGTGTGTGTGTGTGTGTGTTTGCACAGAATATGTTGTCAGTCCTTTCAACAGCATAATGAAGCCAAATTGACAATAGATGGGTTGGTAACTGGAAATTCATGCTTTGAAACAATTCTGTCATCCTTCGACCGTCACTTCCTCCATGTAAATTTCCATTTTAGAGACAAATATTATAAATGCTCTAATTAACCCAAGAAACAAATGAAACTGTCAGATTAATGTCTTTGTGATGTATACTTCGTAAGAACCCTTAATTATGAACATTGTAGGTCAAGAGTTCTTTTCTGCTGGACTACAGTTCCATGAAAGGATACAGTGATTAGAGATCAAGAAAAATGTCAAAAGAAAAAAATGAAGATGTTAGGAGTAGATGATATTATCGGGAATAATGAAAATAATATTTTGTAAAAATCAAATATAATTCAGAAAATCCATCTGTCAGAGAGTTCATACTCTTTTCCAAAACTTCATAAAATATATCATAGCATTTAGATGAATAATGAGTTATTTACTGAAGCTTATAAAATTGGGACCTTTATAAATATCAGCTAAGCCAGAAAATAATTTTCATTTCCTTTAGCCAAATACAGTTTGTGAATGTGATTCCCATCTTTTTCAGGAAAAAGCCCCATTTGAACTCCTAGGAAATGGATTCATTAAATAAGCCTGTTAGTTCACAGACATTTATTTGTTGAATGGTAGTAAAATAAAAGATTGAATGTATGTGTGTAGATATATATATATATGTTTGTCTTCATATATTCATCCAATCACATGCATGCACGTGAATTTTGAACTATGTTGAATACTTTCCATGATGCCTGAGTCCAGACAGAAAGAGTAAATGCAGCATGATAAGAAAAGTGTGTCATAGGTAAAGGCTTGGTTACCTAGGAGTTGAGTTTTTGAAGAAGGTGCCAGCTGTAGAGTTCATCCAAGCAGAGAATAAAGGGGCAGGGCCTGAGGTGAGATGGCCAGCCTATTCACACCTCCCTGGGCCTGAAAAACTTATTTGTTGTTCCAAACCATATTCAAGTAGCACCTGCAAGCCTTTCCTAGATATACGAAGACTTAGCTTCAAAGATAATAAAGCAGGTAATTTGAAAACACCGTTATTAACTCAAAAACTTTTTTAATTGTGTAAGGGAAAGGCATTCGTAGAGCACAGCTTGGCTCAGTTGTGTACAATATTTATATAGTCACAAGAAGGCAAACACATATTGTGAATTTTAGGGGAAAGAGAGAGCAGATGAGAGCTAATTATCCAGGGAGGATGAAGTGTAAGTCAGCAAAAAATCTTATCTACCATACCACAAAGTCTATATGTAGTATCTAAAATGGATGAATCAAGGGATATTATTTAAAAATACAAAGAAGAAACAGTGAAATGAGTTGACAGGATGGTTAGATGAGGGTAGGGGCCCACTGTGGCATAGCAGGTGAAGCCACCCCCTGCAGTGCCAGCTGGCCATTTCAATCATCTGGGGAGTGAGCTAACAGATGGAAGACCTCCATCTCTCTCTCTTTCTCTCTCTCTCTCTCTCTCTCTCTCTCTCTCTCTAACTCACTACCTACCTACCTCTGCCTCTCTGTAACTCTGCCTTTCAAAAAAATAAATACATTTTAAAAAAGAGATGAGATGACAAAGGACCATTCTGTGATTAGTATAAAATTTTTGGCATTATTTTGCTTCTATTTGCATACAATAATATGATAAAAAATTCCATTTTTATAAAGCTTTCCCACCCTTTCTCCTCCTCACCCCTCTGTAAATTCCCTATTGTAGTTACTGTAGTAGCTGCTGTGTGTCTGCCTCCATTCCTTCACTTGGAAAGTGCACTGTTATTTTCGTCTGTATCCACAGAGCCAAGCTCAGTGTCTAATACCTGGTAAATGCTTAGCTTGTATGAGGAAGAATGAGTGAATAAGATTACTGATGGGGTGAACGGGCATATTAAATCTTTTAGGATAGGAACTATATTTATGCAACAATAATAATGCTAATTGAATAATGTTCAATACTGTTGGAGAACAGAAAATGCCAGCATCTCCATCACTTATAGCCCAGATTTCACCAAGGCATGATGTTTCACTCTTCGTCCTATCTACTGGATTTGTCTCTTACATTCCACTTGCTGCAACACCTTCTAACTGGGCTTCGTCACTTTCAGCTTAGGTGGTAGATGGGGACTGAACTATCGCTTTTGTGCTTCATCTATTCGCTGTTCTGCATCATCTCCTCTTCCCCACTATTACCATCCCCAGAACGTTGCTGCATCGAAATGTACTGATACTCTGCTCTGCTTATTTTTATTTTCTTTCTTTTTTTTTTTTTTTGGTTTGAAGATTTATGTGAACAGCAGAGTTACAGAGAGAGAGTGACAGGCCTTCCATCCCCTGGTTTACTCCCCAAATGGCTGCAACTGCAAGGGCTGGATCAAGCTGAAACCAGGAGCCGGGGGCTTCCTCCAGGTCTCCCATATGGGTGCAGGAACCCAAGCACTTGAGCCATTCTCCACTGCTTCCCCAGGCACATTAGCAGGGAACTGGATCAGAAGTAGAGCAGCTGGGACTTGAACCAGTGTCCATATGGGAGGCTGGCACTGCAAGCAGAGGCTTATCATGGTATGACTCAGTGCTGGCCCCCTGCATATTCTTTTTTCAAGAACCACAATGATACATTACCTCTGGAATCCAGGATCCTCTTCCTGATTCTCTTAAGCTTTCAGAACATGGCATCAGTGGCCCAATCCCACAATACTTTGGCCCCCTCCCAGTGCTCACCATCTTATTGGTCAACCCAATCTCATTACACCCAGTCCTAACTTCTTCCTTTCCTTTCTGCAGGCACCTTGCACCTCAGTAAACTAGAGCATCCCAAGGTCTAGAAATAAAATTCTACAAAGAAAATAATCTTCATACATGTAATCAACAACAATTTACTGTAGTTTCTTTTACTTTTATATTGTATAAGTAATCTCAAGTTCACCTCTAGATTAAAATCAGTATTTCCACATAGAAAAGGTCTTCCTTTTAAAAAACTTCATACTGACAGCCGGCACCGCAGCTCACTAGGCTAATCCTCCACCTGCGGTGCCGGCACCCCAGGTTCTAGTCTTAGTTGGGGCACCAGATTCTTTCCCGGTTGCTCCTCTTCCAGTCCAGCTCTCTGCTGTGGCCCAGGAAGGCAGTGGAGGATGGTCCAAGTGCTTGGGCCCTGCACCCACATGGGAGGCCAGGAAGAAGCACCTGGTTCTTGGCTTTGGATCAGCACAGTACGCCGGCCACAGCGGCCATTTTGGGGGTGAAGCAACGGAAGGAAGACCTTTCTCTCTGTCTCTCCCTCTCTCACTGTCTAACTCTGCCTGTCAAAAAACAAAACAAAACAAAACAAAAACAAACAAACAAAAAAAAACAAAAAACAAAAAAAACTTCATACTGAGGCCGACGCTGTGGTGCAGTGGGTTAATGCCCTGGCCTGAAGTGCCGGCATCCATATAGGCGCTGGTTCGAAACCCAGCTGCTCCACTTCCAATCCAGCTCTCTGCTATGGCCTGGGAAAGCAGTAAAAGATGGCCCAAGTCCTTGGGCCCCTGCACCCATGCAGACCCAGAAAAGACCTAGAAGAAGCTCCTAGCTCCTGGCTTCAGATCGGCATAGCTCTGGCCATTGAGGCCATCTGGGGAGTGAACCATCAGATGGAAGACCTCTCTCTCTCTCTCTCTCTCTCTGCCTCTCCTCTCTGTAACTCTAAGTTTTGAATAAATAAATAAATCTTACAAAAAAATTCATAGTGGACCTTACGTAAACTGTTTTTCTAAACTAACAGTAAAAGAGCCTTGACATTTTTAAGGGAGTATATACAATTTTAATATTAATTTTCTTTTGATTTCAAACCTTCTTTTATACCACTTTTGTCCTGCAGACTCAAATATGTCTCAGTTTCTCATGAAATAATTTTTTCCTTGTCTTTATTCATTCAGTGAGACCATTCAGAGAATTCATTTGCTGAAGTATTGAGGGATCTAATTGTTTAATGGGTAGAAATTAATCCTTGCAAGAGTACTTTAAAAACTGGAAAATACCAAGCATAATTATAAATTTTAGAGGAATCTATTTCTGTACAGTAGGTTAATTGATTATAAGTCGATAGCATTGATCACAATTTAAACTCAGCTTCTACTTTCTTCCATGCCTTTTTTTAAACAAATATAAGTGACTATTTGTGGTGAAATTGGTCCTCTTGAATGAACAGTTGGCTACTTATCCCTGATTTTCAAGATTTAAGTGCTCTAATGTACCTGCAGTTAGCTTCCAGTAGCCTGCTGCCCACAGCTAGGGAATTATTTCCCTAAGTTTCCACATCCTTGTCTCGTGATGGAAACTCAGTGGTCAGATGACCATTGGAAAGTTAGATGAATGTTAGATTATGGTGATTTTTTGGGACAATCAGGAAAGTTTAAGAAAATTTAAGCCAGAACTGAGAGCTTTGTCTAAAAGAGAAAATGGATTTGGGGCTGGTTGATCTAGATAAGTACCTGAATTCCCTGGAATTTTTACATATAGATGATTGTTCATTTATGTGATGATGGAAAGTACTGACTCTTCTTTGCTTCTGTTTTAGTGGTGCAATCTGTGCATTGACTTGGTAGCATTCACCAGTGAAATATTCAAGGGAGCAGTCTTCCAGTCATTGGATGGAATTATTGTCTCAGCCAACTGTAAGCTGCGGAAGATCTTCACTTTAAAATCCAAGCCTCAAGACACAGCTGATAAAGATGGTATGTTTAAGTGGCTATCATGATTTTTAAATTCTCTGACTGACTTTTGAAATTAACCATGCCTTTGGGATAGTATGAATGCATGATAGCAGTTTGATTTTATGTCTGCTAAAGTAAATTCCTCCTCAATCATGTTGATTTCATTATTGTAGATCAGATGTTTATTTTTACTATAGCTGAATGTCACAAAAATGTATTGTTTTTTTTCTGGCAGTTGTTTTCCTTTTTCATTGCAATAACTCTTGCTTTTTGAATTGGGATTCTTAGTTATAAATAATAAAATCCTCTTTAGATGACTGAAACAGTAAAAGAATTTATTTTAAGGAAATTAGCAAATTTAGAGGTAATCAAGGATATCTAGAAAGTCAGATTTAGAGCCTGTAGCCAAGAATAAATCCAACTCCTCTGACCACAAGACTGCTCGAGGGATGACCCTCTAAAACTACTACAGCTGCACAGAAACTCTAGACAACACAGCACAATGCTAAGCTCAGGATTCCAGCATTTTTATTATAGCAGGCCCTGAAAGCAAGATGTCTTCCTCCTAGCCACCCTCACCAGAAGTAACTTTCTTTTTCTTTGCATTTCGCTCTTCTGATTAAAGTCTCGTATGGCTGTTTCTTATTTGTGGAGTCTAGGCTCCAAATTAACAAGGGAGTCCAGCAAAGCAGATGTCTGATTCCTGACTTGGGAGGCAGAACTTATATATGGAAAAGTTACAAAATTAGGAAGAATGTGCAAATGATGTTGGGCATCCAAAAAGTTCTACAGTTGTCCACTAAACTGTCTTACAATTCTGTGTGCACTTTACAAAGTCATTTGAGATTGAAATCATCATAACTATCTGATGATCATGTTAAGATGAGTGATACTTGAAGTCTTCCTTATATTGTTTTTGGAGAGACTACAAATATATACATTAATTATTCATAGTTTGATTAATAAATATACTCTGCAGGTAACTGAGACATCTAGAATTCAAAAGGCATACCATCTGCTAAGAGGATTATGAACAACCAAAAGTATTAAAGGAATATTGAAGCTTCCTTTTGATTTTCATCTGGGATTATTTTTTTAAAAATCAATTCTGGCAGCCTAGGAAGCAGTACTGTATGTAGATGTCAAAGGTGCTTCCTTAGAAGTTTCTGTGTAGTACTTAGACTTGTACTCCATCTGGATGAGTATCTGAAAAACCCTTATATGGCTTGTTCTGTTATTCAGGACACTGTGCCTATAAATTTCCTATGACAATGAAAGACAGCAGTGCGTTAACAGCTGCCCAAAGAGACCACAAGGCAACAAGGGCAGCTGTTCACCTTATGTCCCACGTAAGGCTATATGACAAAGTAAAGGGTTTCATTTTCAAAGAATAGAAGCCAGCTAATAAGAAGCCTCAACATTTACGAAAGTATCCATGCACTCCACATTGGATCACAGGAGGTAAATCATAATTGGATTAATGTTTTAGAATATGAAGGAAAAAATGGATCAAACATGGCAAATTCAATGCATGTTTTAATCTCTAATCCATTCTTAAACCCACTAAAACTGTGATATAAGAATTAAAAAGGTATAAAGCCACTAGCATTAGGACTACAGGAGAGGAGACAACAACAAACAAAGATTATTCATAAATTTCGTAAATAGAAGGAGTGACATAAAAGGCTGAAACCTTTGGACTTTCAGAGAGGTTTCTTGATGAGTTTGAGAGAAACTCAAGAATTGGCAGTCTTGGGTATTAGCAAGCCACAGGGAAAAGGGTTTAGCTGAAAAATAGATGGATTAAAATCGTGTACAGGTTGCTGTAGGACCCAGATTCCCTCCCTAACTCCATATAACCAAGCAGCAGGGGATTTTTTTTCTGGAGAAACTGACCCAGAGAGCTTCTGAACTGAAGTGTATCAGGCGCATTATAGACAGCTGTCAAAACTAACAAGAGCAAGGAAATAGATGTGGTAAGGAATATCTGTATTTTCTCAGAACTAAGAAGAGATATTGCTTCTATAAAATAAGAATATTTTTTCTTGCATTACTTCAGTAAATATTTTGTTAAAGCCATTTATTTAAAAGCCATTTGGTGAGGCATTTAAATTTTACAGCCCCTGTTGAAGTGAAATGGACACTATGAGATACAATGACTTGATCAGCCCTTGACCTGTCAAGGAACAACTTAATACTTTATACCTTTTAGTATTTTTTGTTCTACTTAATACTATTGGTTGAACTCTTTAATTCACACACAATTATTCTTAGGTGTTTATTTTTTTTTTTATTTTTATTTTTTGACAGGCAGAGTGGACAGTGAGAGAGAGAGACAGAGAGAAAGGTCTTCCTTTGCCGTTGGTTCACCCTCCAATGGCCGCCGCGCTGCAGCCGGCACACCGCGCTGATCCAATGGCAGGAGCCAGGTACTTCTCCTGGTCTCCCATGGGGTGCAGGGGCCAAGGACTTGGGCCATCCTCCACTGCACTCCCGGGCTACAGCAGAGAGCTGGCCTGGAAGAGGGGCAACCGGGACAGAATCCGGCACCCCAACAGGGACTAGAACCCAGTATGCCGGTGCCGCAAGGCGGAGGATTATCCTAGTGAGCCGCGGCGCCGGCTCTCTTAGGTGTTTAAATTTAACTGAAAAGTGATCCCTTTTAAATATAAGAGTGGGAATAAGAGAGGGAAGAGATGTACAGTTTGGAACATGCTCATTCGGACTTGCCCCAACAGTAGAGTTAGAAACGTGCCAGGGGTTTCCAATTCAATCCCATCAAGGTGGCATGTACCAATGCCATCTCACTAGTCCAAGTGATCAATTTCAGTTCACAATTGATCACAATGATAGGATTAAGAGTCAAAGGGATCACATAAACAAGACTAGTGTCTGCTAATATATCTGATAGAATTAAAAAGGGAGAGAACGATCCAACATGGGAAGCGGGATACACAGCAGACTCATAGAATGGCGGATGTCCTAAACAGCACTCTGGCCTCAGCATTAGCCCTTAAGGCATTCGGATCTGGCTGAAGAGCCCATGAGAGTATTTTAGGCATGGAAAGCCAAGACATTCTGGCCAAAAAAAAAAAAAAAAAAAAAATCTAAATGAAAGATCTCTGTGAGTGAGATGCCAGTGGAAAGAATGGGCCATCAAAGAAGGAGGTAGCTCTCTCTGAAGGGAGGAGAGAAGAACTTCCACTTTGACTGTAGCCTTGTCTAAATAAGATCGGAGTTGGCGAACTGAAAAGGCTTCCATAGCCTTGGCAACTCATGACAAGAGCCTAGGGTGATTACTGACGCAATAAACAAGAGTGTCAATTTGTTAAATCAACAACAGGAGTCACTGTGTACTTACTCTCCATGTAGGATCTCTGTCCTTAATGTGGTGTACTATGTGAATCAATGGTATAACTAGTACTCAAACAGTACTTTACACTTAGTGTTTCTGTGTGGGTGCAAACTGTTGAAATCTTTACTTAATATATACTAAATTGATCTTCTGTATATAAAGATAATTGAAAAGGAATCTTGATGTGAAAGGAATGGGAGAGGGAGCGGGAGAGGGGAGGGTTGCGGGTGGGAGGGAAGTTGGGGGTGGGTAGAAAGCCATTGTAATTCACAAGCTGTACTTCGGATTTATATTTATTAAATAAAAGTTAAAAAAAAATAAAGAGAAGAAAACAAAAAAAATAGCCAACTCTTAAAACGTCAAACAGTGATGACAGGTTACCAATACCAGGTCATGCACTAGAGATAAAAATGTACAGAGAATTGTTCTATGCCTGCAAGGAGCTCTCAGTCTGAAATTATATCATTACTTCTTCTCTTACATTTAGGAACACAGAACACAAATACTCTAGTACTTAGATTTTAGGAAGAATATCGAACTGGGTAGTCAGACCTGTGAAATCATCACTGGCATAGCATTAGGACTCTACTCAGTGGATCACTGCTTGTTCTTTCTTCTCTCTTTTTTTGTTTCTCCTCTTTCTCTTATGTATCTACACATAAATTCTGGTATTTACTTTAAACACAGAATGATATAAATTTTCCTGTAATTCAGTCATGCAAATGCTTAAAACATCAGTCCACATCTCATCAGGAGCCATCAAAGTAATAAAGTAAATGGGATCAGCACATATTACTACTTGTCTAGGATAAGTCATTTCTCTGGGTATGGAAAAGGTGGTTAATTGCTTGTTTCAAGGTTCCAGTAATTCACCTTCTTTTATATCCTACCATGTAAACAGATAATAGCAAAGGAATCAGGGCAAATCTCTTGGCTTGGCAAAGCTTTCGAAGTTCTACAGTGAAATGGTAACAGTTTAAATAAACCAAGGCCAATAAAGTACTGAGTTCAAGTAAGGAAGCACTAAAGTATTTTCAAATAAAATCCCAATATGGAATCTAACAAGTAAAAAAGGCTTCCTTTGATGAATTTCTCAACACTGAGACTAATTTGTCTTTGCAGAAGAAAGTGATCTCTCCCTCAGTAAGAAAGTCAAAAGGGACACCATTATCAAATACATTACAGACACCCTCAACACAGCCAGTTACCAAATCATGACACTCTTACAGTAACATCCCCATCATTGAGTTGTTAGGACGATTAAGCAAATTCATGTCAGTAAGGTGCTCAGGACAGTGTCTAGCTCAAGAAGTAATGCTGCAATCACTGTCACAATCATTATCATTATCAGCTTTCTGTATCTTCTATGGCCAATCTCTTGGATCAAGAACATTCAATTTTCCCTGTATTATGTAATTTTAAAAAAAGATTTAGTTATTTATTTAAAAGGCATAGTTACAGAGAAAGAGAAGCAGAGACAGAGAGATTTCCATTCACTGGTTTACTCCCCAAACGAGAGCAACAGCCAGGGCTGGGCCAGGCCAAAACCAGGAGCCAGGAGTGTCCTCTGGGTCTACTGCATGAGTGCAGGGGCCCAAGCACTCGGGCCGTCTTTTGCTTCTTTCCAAGGAGCATTATCAGGGAGCTGGATGGGAAGTGGAGCAGC